TTTAACTGACTAAAGGAAAAATGAACCGAGAGCTTTATTTCTAGTTTGCATAACAATTTTTAATGAATGACACTATTTCCTAGATAAAATCAGAAACTGCAGTTATGTGAATGGCATTTCTTTGAACTTCTTGCTTGTTTTCTTTGCTTTAAACTACGGAACTCAATCACTCATGCATGTTTAGTACATCCTACTCCCATTTCAGTAACTATTCTTCCTTTATCCAAGGCACATCATTAGTGCTCCAAAGCACTACTGGAGAGGCAAGCACCTCCTTTTTGCCTTATTTGTTTTACCTGTCAAAAAGACCACAGAGAAGAAAGAAGAAAGGGAATTAAGAGCTTATTGCAATAGAGTTCAATAAATGCAAATAATGCATATGTGTATAAACATCTGTATTTCTTAAATATATGCCAACCAGAAACATGTTCCTAATTCAATGTATCAGACACAGTTCAGCCCCTATTTGAAAAGCTCTAACACCAACCTAAGTGCAACGGGGTTGTTGGCCAGAGCAGCACATCCACCCAGCATGCTGTAAGAGCAGGTTTTGATTGCAGACCCAACGTCTCTGCGAGTATCTTGGCAACACTTCTAATGCTGCTCAGTTTAGCCAGCCTAATTAATAGCACTTCAATGAGACAAACAATTCCATGAGCATCAGCACCAATGAAGCCTACAACTTTCTATGTCGTAGCAATTCCCACCCTTCAACCGAAGCTCTTCCTGCTATCAAGGAATTTATAGAGGTTTCTCTTATATGAATTTTCTAAGAACACATCTTGAATAGAGCCCTTGTCGCGCTGGAAAACTAACCAAGTCTCTCTCCTCCACCCCATCACATATTTTTTAAAAAAACTTTATTCTGACAAAATTGGGTCATGGCAGCCAACAGAAGAGGGGGCTGGGGAAGAGTTAAGTGTGTGATGCACTGAAAAGTATAAACAGTGTGATCCCACCATCCCCATTTTTTACACTTTTTTTTTTTCCTAAAGAATACCACTACAACTGGCATTCAGTTCTAGAAATAAAAGATCACAGAATTAAGTCAAACTAGTAGGATTGGTAAAATGCAAGATTTTCCCCTGCGAAAGTGGCCAAAACACCACATGCTGCTGGCTTTCTTTCAATGGTTCACTCCTGCAACAAAAACCATTCACGCCCGAGAATCTTGCCTGAATGCTTCAGCACCTTTCCTGATGGAGGAAAGTAAAAAAAAAAAAGGAGAAAATAGATGAAAACGATAGGCAATCGAAATAAAAACCAGCGGAGGGCACAAAGACCTTCTTGCAGCTACCGCTGTTTAAGGGGAGGAGCAACATCTCACTGCTAGAGCCTTTCCAGGGCTGGAGACATGTCACGCTCCAAACCCTTCTGGCATAGGTAACATAACTAAACGCTTACTGTGTTAAGCAAAATGTTTCCATAAAAAGGCTACTTCCAGCAGCAAAGAGAATTAAAATTAGAACCTTTATGAAATCCACTGTCTAATTTTCGAGCTGGGCCAGCACGAACAGCAGAAATTAGAACAGGAGGGAGAGGAGGAAGAAAAACGCAAATTAACTCCAGTTTCAGGGTTATATTCATGCAGGCTTTTTTTGTTGTTTTTTGGGGGGGGGGGGGTCAGGCAATTGAGCTGTTGCTGACAAGCTTAAAAATCTGTGAGTACTTACTCTTATGTCAGGTTTCCCTCAGACACCAATAGAGATTTTCAACATCCACATGCTGCCTCCACTTTTAAGCCTTCTTCGGGAAATTGCGGTGTTATATTCAAACGGGAATTAAGTAAACTGCCAAGACACAGTATATCACTAGGTCGTGTTTCTTAAACACCATCTGTATTTATTTCATCCATTTTCCAAACTTGTAACTGACCAGCTAAAGGATCTCTGTGCTTCAGAATTAAAAAGCAACACGTAGTCATTTAACCATAGTTTAACTCCCAACTGCATTCAAATCTTTCTTCAGGCTCCATTTTCTTCTCCTGTATTGTAACCAAAAATCAATGAGCTGAAGCCTTTACTTGTTTGTTCACTTCCATTCACCAGCTGCCTGTCCCCCTTCAGTCGCTGGATAAGGGAAACTGCAATCAATCCTTCCCCACCCTTTTTATCCTGCCTCATAAAGACCTCGGGAAAAGGTCTGTCTGCAGGCAAACACACGCAGAAGCTGCAATTTGCTTTTGGTAAGCAAAGCACTGAACAAGATAAGGCACCAAACCCGTGACATAACATGGTGGCACGGCTGACACCGCGCTCTCCGGCTCCACAGCGAGGTCCCCAACCACTTACTTTTGGCCCCTAGAAGTTGTTTTTTTTTTTTCCCTGCACCATTGCATAGCTTCAGCAAGAGGGTGGGGGCAGCCCAACCCTTCCTTAGGCCACCAAGCCACTTGGTTGTCAGGACACCATGAGAAGAGCAAGGATTAAATCGCGTCAGGCAGAACCGGCCCTGAATTCAAGCATTCTGCTTCCTGGGGATGGGTTTAACAACCGGGCTCTGGTACAGGCATGCAGACACACAAACATGCTCCCCCTGTCCATCAGAAGGACAGCAGAGAAGAGTGAAGGGCAAGCTTCTCCTCATTCCTCCCCCACCTCTCTTTTGTAGAAGTCCTCAATAGTCAATTTCTTGAAAGACCATCCACAGGGGACACTCAGTGGTAAGG